TAAAGACCATAAACGCCCTCACATCACTGAGGTCACTAATGGGATGTGAACACCGGGGAGATTCAGAAAAACCCGTAAGGGATTGTGGAAATTAGGTTTGTTATCCAGGTATCATGTTTTTCATTTTCAAAATCAACAGGATCATTTATCCCTTCGGGGGACCAGTGTTTGGCTCTGTGCCTCACACAGAGAAGGCACCTAGAAAATATTTGTTGAATGGGTGGCTGAGACCAGCTACAGCTTACAGAAAACTGTTCCAGCCTGGCTGCTTTGGAGGAAATAGTCCTCTGGTTCTTTTCTGACGCCCTGTAGTTTATCCCATTTCTTATAAGTGGATAGTAACCTTATCGCTTCCACTTGGCTCCCTCTCAAGGAGCACAGGGGAGAGATGCTTGTAGAGTCCTTTTGTTTTTTCCCATCTTCCTTCAGGCGTCATCTGAGGAAAGGAGAGGCAGGCTCCCGAGAAGTGGAGGGGAGTGGGTGAAGAGATAAATGTTTCACTCGTTTGTTCCAGGTCTAAAAACTAGCCAAACTCAAAACTGCCCTTCCATAGCTCCCTCGTGCTGGGAATACCAACTCAAAGTAGGAAGAAACTCCATAAATATTCTGGTATTTTTCTTTCCTTCCTTTCTTTTTCATGGAATGCTTAGCTTTTAAGGCACTGGGGCTTCCAGGGATTGGCTCTACAGAAATCTGGGTTCAAATTCTGACTCTGCTTGCCTCTCAGTACATTGCATAAGCCTTTCCACACTGTACATGAGGAGGTCAGTGACTTCACGGTGTTGCTGTGAGGATTGAAGGTATCCACACGGAGAGCATCTGTCACAGAAACTATGCTTTTGGTTCACAGTGATGGATCTTCATCTTTGTGATGGTTCAGCAGAAGCACAGACCAGGGGCAAATATCCTCTTCACCGGTCTCCCTAGGCTCGTTCTCTGATTTGACTCCATGAGTTGGGATGGGCTAAGTTAGGCCCTGGTAACAAACACCTCTCCCAAATCTCCATACCTTAACACCACAGAATTTTACTTCTGGATCATGTCATGGTCTCTGTGGACCCCGCGGACTCTCCAGGGCAAGTCGTCTGCTGTATTGACACCACAGTCAAGACCATTTCGTCCTCAAGGCCGTACCTGCTTCCACACCTGTTGCAGCCGGTGAGGGGAAGGACCAGCGATTCTCACCTAGACTCTCAAGTGCTTTCACCCTGGGAGAACCTCATGTCCCTGAGAGGCCCATTTTATGGGATAAAGCAAGTTACATGGCTCTACCTTACTCCAAAGCACAGGGAGGGACAGTCCTGCCATGGGCCTGGAAGGAAAGGAAAGCTGGAAATATTAGAGAGAGATGCTCATGTTAACCACACAGGCATTAGCCTTTTCTCGTTCTGCCGTAAATCGTTATTGCGATCACAGCCTCCGCCCAGCACCCACGGCAGCTAGTGGGCATCTGATAACCCCTGCTATATAGAGATTCTGAAACTGCCATGGTCACGGGTGATCTTTGGAAACCACTGAGCCAGCTCTGTCCTACATAAGGCAGAGGAAGCAATTTCTGGGCACTTGAAGTGAGTCCTACCTCCTGGACTGGAGCCCCATCCCTCCCCGCCCCCATGTTTTCCTGGACACCATTTACCCCCAATGATATTGGATAATGGGGGTAAAATCATGGGTTCCTCAAGTTTCAGGGCACCCTGGTTGCCCCTCTCATCTTCCAGGCGGGGTGTGTGTGTTCTGTTCTGTGGTTCTCCCAGGGCCCCCACAGTTCATGATTAGCTGCAGGTGAGACCCACTTTCGGATGGAGGACTCCCGGCCCTGCCTGCTGATTCTCTGTTGTCCACCTCCTCCATCCTCTACACTTACCCTGTCCTCCTTTAAGAGCTGAAATGTCTCAAGCACGGTCACTTGGTTGGTCCAGCTTCCTGTTCAGGTTTCGGTCCCGCCCGAGGCTGGGGATGGATCCGTGCACTTGCCCGTTGTTCAGAAGCTGCCAACAAGGAGGCTCTTCAGGACCTTTTCCTTCCCTTCCAGTTTTTTCGTTGTTTTGTTTCCAATTGGAGGGCTAGGAAATGGGTCATTTTAACAGCATCACCACAGGGACCAAACTATAACCATTTTAGAATGAGTGCGAGAAATTCCTTCCCATTCCCCAATATCGCTTCTCCCCCCCCCCCACAGAGTTTTCTGTTGTTACTTTGATAACAGACATAAGCTCTCTGGCCAGGTGCAGGAAAACAGAGCCCTTGTTTGTACTTTGGTCACCCTCTGGGCTACAAAAAATGGCACAGAACGGTTCTGAGACCGTGCCTCGCCCCTGGACCCGCGGGCCACTGCTGGCCTCTCAAACTATTGCAGTTAGGGTTCTAACTCTGGACACAGTATGAAGCAGGAGGCCTCTAGAGCCTGGGTTTTCAAAGTGTAGCCCGAGTGAGATTCCCCGTGCCGTGGGCTAACGATGCAGATTCCTGAGCCTGGGCCGGCACAGAGATTCCGACTCCATGGCTCTGAGCTGGGGCCGGGCAGCCGCAGTTCCACCAGCACCCCCGGCCTGCGGCGGGGCGGGGGGGCACAGAGCAGTGTCCTCTAGCCTCTTCTTCCTTCTTGATTCTGCCACAGCAGGGTCGGGGGACTCCGGGGAAACCGTCCCGTCTTCGGGGCAGCACCGCTTCGAGCTGCTTCCGAAATGAGGCTCCAGCCTGAGATTTGTTCTCTTGATAAAAATAAGCGGCACGGAGGGCATTTGTTGCCGTTTGCTGGTGTAGACCCGAGTAAGCAGAAGAAAGCGCAGTCGAGCAGCGGCTTCCGAAAGACCACCCTTTTGCCGCTGTGGCTCTAGGTTCTGTATGGAATGTGTTTGCTTTCTGACCCTTGGAGCAGGTATAATGGTCCTGTTTTTCGTGCCTTGAAGGAACTCGAGCTGCAGGGATGCCCCTCTGCAACTCCCAGGTCACTGTCTTCACAGAGGCCTCTGTGCCTGTTTCCTGCCAGGTACTCTGGACCCAAGGGAAGGGAGTCCTATTACAGCCCTTCACGGCTTCCAAGGCCCTATCTGAACCAGGCCTTGGGAGAGAAACTGCTTCTCTCTTGGATCCTAATAGACAGCAGTTCAAGGTCAGGGAACCTGAATTTCCACTTTGCCAATAAGGGGTGGCCCTTACCGCTTCCCGAGACCGATGTTATGGCTAATCTTGCCTACAGCACCTCACAATGTCTCCATGCAATTGGAATTTTATTCCCCGAACGTGGAAGACAGTGTCTTTGGGGTCTCAGAGTTGAATCTGATCAAGTGAAGGGACAAAGGTGGCCGTTTCTGTGCCACCAATACTAACAGCCCTGACAACCGAGGCTTACTGATCCGGGGCAAAGAACCGAAGGCGCAAGGGCAGATCTGTTAAATTGTGTGTAAATGGGATTTTTTTCCTGTGAAATCTCAGTACCTCCCTTAGGACATTGCAGTTTAGGTTTTGAGCCGCGCTCCTCTGATATTTACTCGTTGGGGATTTTACTCCTGAGAAATCACAGTGGCAACAGAACCATTTTGCCTCCACGAAGACGATGTCAAAGTCTTAAAAATCCAGGACGTTTTAAGGCAGGATTCCAACCTCATTACTGCCAGGAATAAGACTCACCCAAGGTGGAAGTGTCCTCTCTTAGAACTCAAATCCGTCTCAGAATGGTTTTTCTTTCCCCTTTGTTTTTGAAGCTAAGCAATTACTTTTTTTTTTTTTTTTAAGGAAAAAAAAATTGTGCTAATGCACAAAACTCTCTTTTTCCCCTTTCATTTATTTGAAATTGAACTTAACAAAGTCAGTTCCAAGCAAGCACTATATATGAGTAATGCTTTTTGTCCATAAAAGAGCATTGACTCCAATGGTATGGGAGCGCTGATTCTCTCTCTGCTTTGTGTGAGCGTCCATAATGACAAAGTGCTCATGTCAGAGTGTATAATGAAACTATAAATTGTTTTCATGAATGCTCTGAATTTGGTCTTTTACGGGGCAAATTCAAAAGGTATTTAATGCCACATTTCACATACGTGAATAACGCCAGGCGGTGCAGTATATCCAATGAAAGTAAAGAGTTCCAGTCAGGCTCACACTGGCCCGTGTGGTGGCTGATTATCAGGTAAGGGTGGTTCATGGTCGGGGTGGGGATGGGCTGATGGAGAGAAGGAGGGATGAAGAAATCCTGTCCCCCTGAGGAAGAGTTCCAGCTAGGTATACCCAACTGTTTGGGGGCAATCGAAGTGTGGCTAAAATACTTAGCTCATCTGGTGCCTGGGTAGTGGGTGCCTGTATTGGAGTTATAGAAGTTGTACACATCTTGGTGGAGTTAGTAAACGAACATTCTCAGGTAAGAAAATGTCTCCTGGGGTGAATGGACAAGGGAATTCTTCTGCAGTGATTTACAGTTCAATTAAGTTATTTCTAATAGCACTTTTTGTATTTACTTATTATAGTAAAGCCACATGGGTTTCTTCTAGAAAATTTAGAAGACACAGAAAAGCACAAAGAATAAAGTTATAAAAAACACGTGGCCAAGAGTTGTTACTAATATTTTTACAAAATTTGTATTGAATTACCTTTCTGTGTATATCATTTCATTGAATTTTAATAAAATTTTACATAATCTTACCTAAATATATTTTTAATACAAAATTTGGGTCCAACTATCTATCCATGTCATTTTAAAAAATTTGCTTTTTTACTTATATGTTGGCTAAAGTATTTTATCTGTTTATCCCAGTTTGCTAAAGTTCATGAACATCCAAGGTTTTGGTTCTGTCATGAGGGGCGTAGGTCAGGTACCATGGCTGTCTGCATATTGTATACCTACTGCATACATCATTTACTGACTGACCTCTCTGGGTATATGTTCTCTAAAAACAAAAAACTCCACAAAACAAAACCAACTGTGCAGGAAGCATGAAACAGGGGGTGTGTTAAACGGAGGTCTATTGACGTTTTTGACCCGCTGGTTGGATTTTTTTGTTTTGCAGTACCTAGTGTGTAAAAGAAAGCTGGAGAGTAAAAAGGAAGCCCTGCTGATCCTCTCCAAGGAGCTGGACACATGCCAGCAAGAAAGGGACCAGTACAAACTCATGGCCAATCAGCTTCGGGAGCGCCATCAGTCCCTGAAGAAGAAGTACCGGGAGCTGATTGTACGTGTTACGTCACGGTGATGTTCTCGTGCCCTCATTAAGATAGAAAGTGGATTACGCTGGAATTAAAATTTTAAAAGAAAAAAAAAGTGAGGATTTTAACACACCAGTTCTTTAAAAGAAAGTGAGGGGAGGTTCACATTCAAACAGTTCCAACATGGAAAAATGAAGAAGTGGAAGTTGTCACCCCTGTTTCCTCCACAACCCAGCCCCAGTCACTAGCAGAAGCGTGTGCTTCCGGACTGCCTCCTCTGGCATCTATGAAAACTCATACAAATGTGTTTGTATATGCCTCCTTCTTAGTTTAATTGTATGGGGCTTTTCATTGTTTTTTTTTTTTATCATTTTTATCACTTTTTGTTGTTTCTTTTTCTTTTTACCTTTCTTTTCTTTTCTTTTCTTTTTTTAAGTAATCTCTACACTCCGGGTAGTTGGGACTAGAACTCACCACGTGGAGATCAAAGGTTGCTTGCTCCACCCACTGAGACTGCCAGGCACCCTGTTTAAAGAGGATTCATATTATAAATCTGCACTAATCCAGAAGCTGCTAGCCACATGTGATTATTTAAATTCCATTTCAAATTAATTAGAATTCAGTGAAATTGAAAACTCCGTTCTTCAGTCTCGGCACATTTCATGGGCCCAATCCCTGTAGGATACCATGTGGGACTATGTGGATGTAGAAGAGTTCCGTGATGGCCACTGTGTTGGGACGGTGAGAAACTGAGCGTTTCCATCATTGCAGAGTTCTGCTCATCCCCACTGTGTAAACATAGTTCCAGCACTTGCTTTTCACTCAGTCCTTTGGTCATTTCTCTAGGCCATACGAACAAATTTAACTCCTTTTGAAAAACAGTTGCATAGTAAGATTTCCATAATTTCTTTTACCTTTCCTTTATGCCGGGCATTTAGAGTCACTTTGGGTTTTCATGTGGCAAGATTTTTAAGGCTGCAGATTATACTGAGATGGAGGGTACCAACGGCAGAGAACCAGATGCATTCCACTTTTTTTTCCTCACAACATTACGATCTCTGTTTTTGAGTGCTGACCCAATGGCTAACATTTAGCCATCTAAGCTGGGGTCATTGAACTCTCCTGAAGCAGAAATAGAATAGGAAGTTTCCACATAATGTTGACTTCTATTCAGGCAGCATGGGAGACAAGAGTACTGGTTTACTGAGCATTTATGCGTCACCTGAGTTCTTTTTATTTCCAGGTGGCACCAAAGGGGTGAGGGAGGGGAAAATGAATCCTTTTAAGACAGAGATTCTGAGAGGACTGCAAGTTCTCAGTTAATTCTCTTTTATCTTGACCATATCCTATCCCCTCTTCCCTACCATATCCCCGCCCCCAACTTGTTCTGCTCATGGAGAAAACTCAAGCATGTGTGCATCCACTATTATTCCTTTGGATCTAACTATTTAAAAGAGGGATTGGACTCAAACCAAATGAAATACTATCTCAGTTTTGGCTCTGCTCAAAGATAAATCCAGTTTTTTCATGTATTTACTTGGTTCATACGGTTTTAGAAAGTATCTAGGTTTGGTCCTAATTGGAACTGATTTCCTAGAGGTTTTTCCAAAATAACTGGTTCAGTTTATACTTAATTTTTTTAAAAGCATATGTGAGGGATGCCTTGGTGTCTTAGTTGGTTAAGCATCTGCCTTCAACTCAGGTCATGATCCCAGGGTTCTGGGATTGAGCCCCGTGTGGGGTTCCCGGCTCAGTGGGGAGCCTACTTCTCCCTCTTCTCCCTGCTCATGCTCTTTCTCTCGGTATTTCTCTCCCTCAAATTAAAAAAAAAAATCCTAAAAAAATATATTTGAATTTGGTTCAGCACACTATTGATTGCAGGGGGAAGGAGTGGGAGGGTCTGAATTTAGTTCGGAGTTTTGTTCAGTTCCCTGAATCTAAGCACACTTTTTTTTTTTTTTTTAAGTAAAGTGTAACATTTGTTTCTTTGTAGGATGGAGATCTGTCACTTCCCCCTGAAAAGAGGAAACAGGTAAGCCTTATTCCTGAAGTTTGGTAACTCTCAGATTGTTCATACTGATGTCTTACAATGACTGGGGTGTCAGGCAATCCAGAGTGTATAGAGAACTCCTCTTAACTTCCCAGAATCCTTTTGTGTTACAGAGTGGGGAACAGGTAGTAGAGAAATGCTCACTGAGAAGAGGGGTTGGCGGTTGTGGGGGTGATGGTGTGGAAGGAAACCCAATGACGTCTAACAAGGGGGAAGAGGGCATACCAGTTGACAGCATTCCCTTTCTTGTTGGGAATCCATGAGTTGGGAGCTCAGGGCTGTCACTCTTTAGCATTCTGTTCGTGGATGGATTCTGTTCTCCCATTCAGTCTCTACCATTTCAGGCTTTTAAAACCATCTTACCAGCAAAACTCACATGTTCTTTTCTACTAAATGATAGCCCACATCGTTTATAGGTGAATCCATTTTCCCCCCACAGATTTCAGATACTTAATTTGTGTCGTTGAACAAATCTTATATATTTGTAGATCTGTTTCTGAACTTCCTGTTTTGTTCCATGGAGCTTCCTGTGTAGTCCTGGTGTTGTACCACATTATTCTATTGGTTTTGGCTTTGTAATACTTGTGACATCTGTTTGGGCTCGTCTCCTTCCCTTTGCTCTTGCTATTCATGTGTTTCCTATTTGTTACTTTTTCCAGATAAAACTTACAAACATTTTATCAAGCCTTCCTCTCATTCCACCAAAACAAATGAACCAACCTATTGGTATTTTGATTGGGGCTTTGTTAAATTTGTAGATTAATTTGGGGACAGTTAAGATTTCTATAACATTATGTCCAGGAATATCATAAATCATATTTCTTTTAATCCAGTTGCATACATACATACATACATACATACATATTTATGTTGTTGTTTTCCAAAGGTATCTCTGTCAGACCTTCCCTCAACTTGATAATTGTTCTCTACTGACATGCCCTGAAATACAGCTTTTTATGGGGTTGAAGTGAGCCCAGATGATGGTGATGTTAATGCTATGTGTTCCATGTTATGGAGAAGCCTCTGCCTCAGAGCAGGGCTTCAAAACTAGGAAATGAAGATACAGGAATTGCTTTGTTTCTTCATAGCTGTAATGGTTAACTCGACATCCTGTTTTTGTTCATTGACAATATACTTGATATCACATGTAAACTTGTTGGGTCCATTTCCTTGAGATTTTTGATGCTGAGTAAATAGTATGCCCCCCCCCCCCCACAGGACTTTCACCCTGAAACAGCAACGCAACTCCTTCCTTCAGTTACCCCTTTGGTTATTTAGTTCTACTCATTCCTATACTCTCTTCCTATTTTATTTGATTGTTTTGTACCACTCCAGGTTTGATCTGAAGTCAGATTTTGCTATAGAGCTGATTTTTTTTCTAAACAAAATTACAAGGGTGTAATTTTATCATGAATGTCTAAAAGTTGTCCTTAATCTGGAATTACTAGATGTTTTTGTGGTTTTTGGTGGCTAGGAACAGTCATCCTTGTTGAAATTTTCAAGTTTGTTAGTATTCATGAAGGGGTTTTACAGTTTAAGTGAATTCACGTCCCATGACTTTATAATAAAAAATTTGCATTGACCAAGGAGAATCTGAAGAATTGTAGTGAGTCTGTCAAGCTGCATTCATATAGCTCTGAAAAAGCAAGTACCATGTCCTCAGCGATGGCTTTTTAGATTTGAATATAGCATTCAATTTCTGTCCCTTCGGGATTTGTACAATGGTGTGACTTTGGCTCTGTCTCCTGCCTGGTTTGGAACCTCTGACTTGCTTCATGAGATAGGATGGGTTGCGGTGTGGGCAACTGAAATTCTGAAGTGTTTAAACAGTAAAGAATATCAATGACTTTGCAAAACCAGAAGTTCAAAGGTAGAGCATCCTACTTCTCCATTATGTGTACTCCTTCTCTCCACTGTGCCACACTTAGCAAATAAACCACAGGACCCCTAGGGGGTGCCTGGGTGGGGGCAGAGTCAGTCAGGCATCTAACTCAAGAGTCGACTCAGGTCATGATCTCAAGCCAGGAGGTGGAGGCTGGTGTTTTGGCTCCACGCTGAGTCCCTGCCCTTATGAGCATGTGCAGGCTCTCTGGCTCTCTCAAATAAACAAATCTTAAAAAAAAAAAAAATACAGGACAGTTGGGAAATTCGGGTTTCAGATAGACAACTAAAACGTTTTTAGGATAAAAGTATGGCCCTTGGGCTACCTGGGTGGCTCAGTTAGTTAAACATCTGCCTTTTGATCTCAGCTCAGGTCATGATCTCAGGGTCCTGAGTTCAAGCCCCATGTTGGGCTCTACATGGGACATGGAGTCTACTTAAGAAAAAAAAAAAAAAGAAAGAAAGAAAAAGACAAAGTATGACCCATGCAATATTTGGGACAAATTTATGCCAACACATTATTCATTATTTATCTATAATTCAAGTTGAACAGGGCATCCCATATTTTAACTGACCACTGTGGCACAGTGGTAACTGTGCCAATTTCAACACCAGCTTTCTCTTGAAGAGATAGAGAACTCTTGAATTTTCTCTTTCTTCTTCTTTACTTAGAATAAAGAACTTCACTTTCTTCTAAGGCCGGTTCCCCTAAGCAGGAGAGGCAAAACCCCCAGCCATGGAATGGAAGTGCTTTTCTCCATTCTAATTGGGTTAGTGTAGGACATGCTCCCATTCCTGGTCTACTGACATTCACCAGGAGAGTGCCATGTGTTGACTGGCTTTGATTAATCACCGAGGAAAGAAGGGCTGCTCGGAAGCCAGCAGTGACACTGTAAATAACTGTGTGGCCTTGGGAAGTTTCCTTTGGGTGTCTGAGTCTTAGCAGTCTCATCCATAAAATGGGAATAAATATGGTACCTACCACATAGTGGTGCCAGCAGAGTCCTCCCCATGGTGCCTGGCAAAGGGTGAGCACCAATAAATATTTTTCATCCTTTCCTTCTCTACCTCATCTCCCTTAAATTTTTTTTTTAATCAGTTATATAAAAGTGTGTTGAATCTGCCCACCATGGCCCTTGTCAGGACCCTTTTGTTTCCATTTGGCAGGTTAAAGTAGCTGGGGTCCAAGAGGGGTTTCCTGGCTCATAGGACTTCACAGGGTTATTTGAGCAGAGAGCAGGGAGGCAGAAATGCAGCCGGCGCTTTGGCTACCCCAGCTCCCTCTTCTGCGCTCAGCAGCCATTGTTTCTTTCTGTGAACCTGCTTTCTCTGTAGAATGGGAAATGTGACTCCACATCTTTGATCTCTAGAAAAAAGTTGCTCCTCAGTCTCAAGTGAGAGCTCCTCTAGGCCAGGCTCAAGCCAGGGGCCCATCTCAGGGTTGGCCAGGCACAGCCAAGCATTCTATAGACACAAGAAGGCTTCTACTGTTGTCATATTAAGGGGTGCTGGGTAGGCAGACATAACTGTCTGCCTCACACGCCTTCTTCACACGACCTTGGAATGACCAAGAGTAATGATGGCAGCCAACCTTTTGGAGTGACTGCTCGAGCCGTGTACAGACCCTGTGTTCGGCATTGTACTATGGATGAGCTCATTTAGTTCTCACCCAGCCATGTGAGGTGGGTGCTGTCATTAGTGTCGCCATCTGACAGATGAGGAAATTGAAGCGTATGGTGGTCAAGGAAATTACTGCAGGGAAATGACGTAATTCATTGGTTTTGGAGCCAGAGTATGAACCCCTGCTGTCCACTCAGAGCTCATGCTCTTAGCCACATTGACTCAATACCTACTTATGGAGCATCTCATGGGTGTCTTGTGCTAATTTAAACAATGGGGACACAGGTCTGAGAAAAGTCAGATCCAAATCCCCGAGCTTCTGGAACTTGCATTGTAGTTAGGGTGACCACACCTTTGTTTCCCCAGGAACATCTCCATTTTGTCCTGGCATAATTTGTATTAGGGCTCCTTTTCACTCTCCAGAGCCTCTTGGTTTAGATGATAAATAATATAATCACTTTAATTCTAGTAGAGATGCTATGAACAAACAATAAACAAAATAATTAAAATAAATCAGATGTAATGGCCATTGATGCTATGGAGGGAGAAATACAGCCCAAAGCAAAGGAGAGAATTCTGGCTTAGTGATGGAAGAGATGTCTTGATAAATAGTGGGGAGAAATAGTTCCAGGATTTGGAAATATAAAGAATTTTATCCATTCAAAATACATTTTTAAAATTTTATTTACTTTTAGTTAATTTATAGAAACATGTGGCTGGTTTTTTGGCAGTGAGTGTTAAGATGCCTTCTTCCTTAGCTCGGTGTGGGGACGAAAATGCACCAGTAAGTATTTCGGTCCTGGTTGCAACGAGACTTTGCATTTAGCCAGAAGAAGACAGCTTTGACACACATGTGACAGGACGGGAAGGGAGAGGCAAAATTATTTTCTTCACTTTTTCGTCTAGAGGAACAGGGTAAAAGCATGCACTCTGAGCTGGTGTCTCCTTTATTAATTTACATGTTTATCACGAAGGCAAGACAGTGGGTAAAATATTTACCCCTCCAGCTGAAAAGCAGGTGCACTTACTTAAGCAGAAAGCACTGGAACAAGAGCAAGCTGTCATGTTAACAGATGGGACATGGAGGTCCAAAGATCCACATATTAGAAAAGGAGATGCCACACAGAGCCATTTCATTGCCCATCAGCCTCGTTTCTTGATTGGGAAGGTGGAATTTCTGTGGTCTCTACTTCAGTCTTCCCTGTTCGTGTCTCCACTCAGAGGGAGAGATTGCTATGATCATTGTTATGGGCAGGATGTCTGTGTCCCCCCAACATTCATGTATTGAAACTATGCTCCTCCAGTGTGATGGTATTAGAAGGTGGGGCCTCTGAAAGATAGTTAGGATGAGAAGAGGTCATTGAAGTGGAGCTGTCATGAGCGGGATTAGTGCTCTTCCAGAAGTCATGAGAAAGCTCGCTTTCTCTGCTCTGCTCTGCTCTGCATCCCCCGGAGGGTGCCCCAAGGAGTCACAACCGAAG